GAATTATCAGTTGGAGGCCCTGGATAAGGATTGTTCCTTATCTCTGGGGACTTCTGCAAATTTTACCCTACAAAGATGAATTCCTTCTGCATCTGGTTACACAGAGGGGAAAACAATCAAGGGAATTACATTCTTCAAAGAATTGGATTTGGTATTGTTGAGGTTTAGAGGTTTAGGGGTGCTGGGACACCAAAATCATGACACTTGGGTCCTGCCCGAGTGATTTTGACCCAAACCTTCTTTCAGCCAAAGACAAGGTTTATTAAAGATCCGCCATACTGGCCAGACTCTCAAGAATCTAAGCATTTGCATTGCTAATGCAAGCAGGTCAGATCTTAAAGAATCCAAACCTTGGCTAGATTATAAGAATCTGAGCCTTGGCTAGATTATAAGAATCTGAGCATCTTAATGGAAGCCAGGTGGACCTTAGATACAGAAAGACTGTGGGAGGGATCTAGGAATGGCCAAGTAGTTTGGGGGGACTGGAGAGGGGTCTGGGAGAAGGGATATCTTGATGGGAGTCGCTAGTAGGCTGGGGTGACTGGGGAGGATCTTGATGGGAGTGACTGGGAGAATGGGGTCTAGATAGGATTAAGGGTAGGAAGTGGGGGGTATGTGGGGGGCCATCAGGAGGTAATAGACAATGGAGGGCTGGGCTAGGTTAAGGGTAACAGAGAATTGGGAGATTAGGGGATAATGAAAGGCCATTTGATAGGACTATAGCCTCAGGAGACTGCTAGAGACTTCCTTGACCAAGTGGGACAGTTCAAGGAGAATCTGTAGACAAATGGGACCCAAATTCTTTTTGGTGTGAGGGGCAAAGGTCTTGCTTGGGCCCTACCCCATCAGTATATTGGATCTATGCCCCTTCCTTGAACCCTGGTGCTTAGCATAGTATCTTACACATAGTTAAGGGGTTAATCAATGTTTGACTAATGTTGACTGACTGAATACCCCCAAAACACATGCTTTCTATGCTTTGGATGCAGTTAGAGCTTGGATTGAGCCCCACCTGGATGATATCAAATGTTATCTATGGGACTTCCCTGCTAGGCCACTATGCAGGCTTGGGCAGATCAACTGGTGAAGTTTGAAGAAGAGATTGGGCTGGCACCAATGCCTGTCTGGGCAAATTGGGCTGTCCACACAAATAAGTACTCTGGGGATGATAGGAAGAGGCACGTGCCTGCTTTGTCACTTCCCACCTGGCTGTTGACCTGGACTTAATCATTGTCTCCAGAAATTAATTTTCCAGCAAGATCAATTTAACTTTGAAATTCACATCTCCTTAGTACTCCCTACCCCTTAGGCCTCTCTCTCCTTCTGATTGGAGAGGGTGGAATATGGATATAGGAGAGCTCCTCCCAGATCCGATATTTAAGGAGGGTTCTCAGGGCAGATGCCTCATAATTTAACCCTCAGTCACACTGGATACCCTTCTCCCCACTCCCTTTGCTTTTTAGCTTCTTTTTAAGTTCTCCATTTGATTGTGAGCTCCTCAAGGGCAGGGACTGTCTTTTGCCTTTCTTTGTATTCCCTGTGTTTAGCATGAATGTTTATTGATTGACTGACTGCTACTTTAGTTGGATGAAGGTTGATGAGCTCTTGAAATATAGACGTGACAAGGTTATTGATGGTTGACCTGTGGTGGTGTTAGTAAAATTCTATTTGGTTATCTAGGACTGGCACAGTAAGTATTTTTCTGCCCCATTCCTGGAAAATCCCATTTCCACCAAGTCATTCCAAGTTACTCAGTTCTTTGTACCTAGATTTGAGGGACTGTTGAGATGAATCCCCTTAGTTAAGGATCCTTTTAGGCTTGGACTGGTTTGACTGCAGGTCTTTAATGGAACTAGAAGCCATGTGTCAGTTATTCAGGTTAGGAAAGATGGAATCATCAAATATATGAGGCTGCAGATACTGGCAGCCAGGTTACTATTATTCCAGGGGACCTTCAACAGGTCCATTTGAGTACCCTTATTTCTATTGGAGACATGGGGGAGAAGACTACTCAGAGAAGGAGCACCCTTTTTAGGTGGAGGTGGGTGAAAGGCTCATTCTGATGGGGTATGGGCCCAAGCTGGGATCTTTGCCTCTCACCCCTAAAAGAATTTGAGTCCCCTTTGTCTACTGGCCCCAGAAAACCCTTGAACTTGAACTCACTTACTTGGTGAAGGAAGTCTCTAGTGGTTGCCTGAGGCTATAATCCTCTCAACTGGCCTTTCTTTATCTCCTAGGCCCAATCTCTCAATTCTTTGTTACCTTAATTGAGCCTAGCCCTCCACTGTCTGTTACTGCTTCCCATCCTTGATCCTATCCACATCCCCTTCAACCTCCCTAGACCCCTCCTCCAGTCACCCCAGCTTACTGGCCACTCCCATCAAGACTCCCCTTCTCCCAGCCCCTCCTCCAGTCACCCCAAACTCTTTGGTCCCTCCTAGATCCCTCCCATAGTCTTTTTGTATAAGATCCATCCTGGCTGCCATTTAGGGGCTGAGAGTTCCTCATGCCTACCTGTCTTTACCAGTGTCACACATGGTCAGATTCCTTAAGAATTGGGCTTATATGACTGATCTTTAATAAACCTTGTCCTTGACTGAAAGAAGGCTTGGGTTGAATTCTTTCGGGCAGGACCCATGTGTCGTGATTTTGGGGTCCCGGCATCCCTAGCATTTAAACCTCATCACTTCTTCCCCCCCTCCCCCGCCCCAATCTAGGTCACAGTTATGATGGCTAATCATGGTGAATATATCATGGGCATGGATATTATGAGCTCTTGGAAGTCAGTACCTGTATGGGCACCTATGGCAGCTACTATGTTGGCTGTTGTGGTTAGAACAAAGTTGAGTTGTTTGAACCATCCTAGATAGATAAAATAATTTCAGGTCCCAGGTAGGGCAAAAAATTATTTCCTTCCTAGTAATGGAAGATGAAGGAGGCCAGAGTACTTCTCTACACAGACTCCTCTTATAATAACCCTGAGTGATTTGTGAAGAAGGTAGGTGATAACTGGTGGCAGCAGTTTGAGAGTTGAATAAAGTAGTTATACTGATTGCTGTGGCCTTTTCTGACCTTATTAACCTGGTGGACTAGGTAGCCCAGACCCCAGGAAAGTAGTGTGGGGTTATTGTTTTTGCCAATGCCTTTTTCTCTATTCCTGTGTGGATTTGCTTTCACCTGGGAAGAAGTCAAGTATAAGTAGAACATACAACCTTTAATATAGAGAAGTTTATTCAGTAATAATATGGCAAGTATTTTGGGCCAAGATATAGTGTTGTATTAGTTGAATGTGACTTCCCTTTCCTCTACATTTGCCACAATGGCTCACCAGATCTGAAGGAATGGTGTATTGACTTGAAGAGCAGTGGGAAGTCATCAAGCTTGAGGAGTACCCACTAACTTTTATGCCTTAGGCAACTGATAATGTTTTGCCAATAGTTCAGCTTTAATCCCCTGGACCAGGGGTGGGGAACCTGCAGCCTTGAGGCCACATGTGGTCCTCTAGGTCCTCAAGTGTGACCAATCCAAACTTCACAGTTTGGATTCAGTCAAAGGGCTGCACTTGAGGACCCAGAGGGTCACATATGACCTCAAGGCTGCAGGTTCCCCACCCCTGCCCTGGACCAATTAAACCTTAAGAACAGCTTGGTTGTCTTTTTAAGGAAAAACAAGCCTATATAGCAGGGACTTTCTAGAAAATCTTAGTAGTAGTAGATGTTGCTTCTAAAAAAGTCTAAACTATTCATAGTCTTTGATCCAGCTATTTAGCTACTGGATATGTGTATGTATGCATAAAATATGTATATGCGTGTGTGTGTATATATGTACATATATATATACATGCTTTATGTGTGTGTGTATATATATAGATATATATGTATATATCTATATCTATATGTATATCCCTCATAGATCATAGTCTACATTTATTCCAAAATATTAATCACAGCACTTTTTGTGGTAACAAAAAACAACACAAATTAGGAGCTTATCAATTGGGCAATGGCTGAACAATTATGGTTTATGAATGTGATGAAATACTATTGAGGTTTAAGAAATACCTTACAATAAAATGAAAACAAAATTTATAAACATAGGAAAACTTTTTATGAACTAATACACAGTGAAGCACTTAATCAGGACTTGGAGAATAATTGCAACCATGACTACAATAATGCAAATGAAAAGAAGCTAAAAGACAGCCAGACCTGTGTGATTGTAATGAACAGTCTCAGTCCTAGACAAACAAGGGCATGAAGCTCCTGGGTGGGAGATGCAAAGTCTGTAAGATGCCGGAGCTCTTTTGGTTGCTCTTTTTCTTTTGTTTATTTGTTCTGGAAGGCTTTGACTAACTGTTTTTCTTTTATTACATGAGCAGGGGGGATATAACAGGGAATTACTGTGGTATGCAAATGAGAGGTATTAATAAAACTTAAAAAGAAGAAAAAAAAGGAAAGATGCAGAAAGCTAATGCACATGACACTAGATCCAAGATGCAGTATGTTTATCATGTTTCTACTCTGTTTTGCAATCAGTTCATACTTCAAGAGATGAACAAGGGATAAGTAGAATCCTTGAGGGAGCAGGGATTTCAAGAGGTAGCATGGTAGAGTGAATGAGAGTTAAGTCCAGAGTCTGAAGACCTGGGTTTGAATCCCAGCTCTAATTACCCATTATTTGGGTAACTTTGGTCAACTCACTTCATCTCTCTGGGCGTTGTTAAATGAGGAGGGTTGGATAGATGACCTCTAAAGCCCCTTCCAGTTCTAAATCTAATGAATTCACGTAGTCTAGTTTCCTATCTTTAACTATAATTTTACCTAAACCTTCTAAGTCAGTGGCTATGTAAGAATAAGCACATTTTAAAAATCCTTTTACAAAAGACAGAAAGTAGAAGGATCTAAGCATTTTAATATAATTTACAGCATTGTAGAATTTTAATTTGGTAAATATATTCATTCTCTTTACTGATGTTTTCCTTTTCTCCATTCTTTCTTCAGGCAATGTGGCTTTGTAAACATTTAAATGCCAGCCTCATCACGAAGCAGAACTTAATAAGAAATGAATTTTCAATAATAGCTGCTAAAGCAGCTACAATTTTTGGAGCAAACCAGGTATGCCTTTTTGCTGTCCCTCACCCCAGGCTTTCTCTGGGTAGCATAGGATAGTAAAGCTGCTAAAGTACTAGTTTATAGACACACTAATCTTGATTTCTGCTTGGATCAAATGAAGGAAAGTGGTTCTTTTCAGGGGATAGAAAGAAGACATGTTTAAGGTATCATAGGTGAGTGAGTGGGAAAAAGATGGGGAGAGAATTCTCAGGCATCCCCTGAGCCTGGTTAGAATTGAGGAAAGATTTCTATGATATTAGTTGCTAGATAGAAGAAAATAACAAATAATGATAAAAGAATTGCTTTGAATGGATGCAAAGTCTCAGAGTGCTGCTTTTACAAGTTTTCTCATCTCTTTTGCATACTCTCACAGGGAGCAGAGAGGGAGTGAGGATTCATTCAGTAACATTTCTCAAATGTTTATTAGATGCTTCCTTTCAAAGCTTAGATAAATACTCACTCTCTGCTCTCATGGAACTTATAGTCCAGTACAGCATTGTGGGAAGACTAGTCTTAGACTTACCTAAGTATTCTTAGCTCTGTGGCCCACTTTAGCATTATATATACCATGGGCAAAAGATGAGTGAAAATAGGAGGCTTAAGCCTTAAAATCCTCGACATAACCCTATTTTGAAGGATTAATTTAAGGGAAAAATCCTCTGCTGCCTATAGGATTTGGTTGCTGTGTTTCCTCTTGAATATTGTATGAAAGGATGCTTCCAAAAGGCAGCAAAATCAGGAAAATGGACAGTGCTGGTACCTACTAACTATGGGACCCTGGACAAAGGACTTCAATTTTTTGAGAGGAAGAAGAAGAAGAGGAAGAAGAAAAAAGAAGAAGCATTCAGAGGGCAGTTACTACTACTCTCAGATAGTGTGATAAAGATAGTTAATACAACATGTTCTGGTTCACTCCTTCCCACAAATATACACAGCATCCATGGGAGGAGTAACCTTAAACTTAGACCATAATAGTAGTGAGGTACACATGTAAGAAACATGTGTAACAAGTAACTATCTTCTACTACTTAACTATTTTATAGGTTTATTTTTGACTAGACAATGAGGTTAAGTGACTTGCCCAGGGTCACACAGCTAGTAAGTGTTATGTGTCTGAGGCCGGATTTGAACTCAGGTCCTCCTGAATCCAGGGCTGGTGCTCCATCCACTGCACCACCTAGGTGCCCCAGTCTTATAGGTTTATTTTGAAGAAATTATTTTTTAAATCTTTAAAGTGCTATATACACATGAATTATTATTAGTTCCATTTATATATCTGTAGATCATAAACAGTGATAAACCTTTGCACCTATATGGGTATAGATTTTATTCAGAAGCTTTCTTCCATCTACATATTCAGATCTTTTTGATCACTGCAGATAAACTGATTTTTCATCTGGGGCCATTCTAGCCTTTTGATGATAGCTGCAACTGTAAATATCTTTGTATCCCAATCCAAAACAACTTGGCAAAGTTAATCTACACTGAAGTGTGGATGCAATTCCTGAGATATCATTGCACCTGGGTTGTTTTTGCCCTGTTGGGCCAGTCCAGACATTATCTAAAAGAGGGCAGCTGGTGATAGTCCACTTAGATTTGCCACCCTTTTTGGAAGAGAGACAGGAAAGAACACATTTTTAGGGTCAGCACCTGCCAAAGCAGATGATGTGACTGAGGCATGACCTGCAGCTTTCCAGCATCTCTGTTTTCTACTCTCCTTTACTTTTCTGGCAGCATTTATAAACGAAAGAGATAAGGGGTGCTGGAATTCCCCACTATCTTGCCCCAATGTCTATGTATATTTGCAATATTAACTGTTTGTATTCCTACCCTGGGGCATTGGAAAACATCCTTGGGCTTAACATAAATGTAGAAAAAATTTGTCTAATTTTATATACTACAGTGAGCTTTTATGGGAGAAATTGTTTATTTTTATTGTAAAGATGATTTTATTAGGTTCATAAAATTCAACTTAGATGACAGAATTTATAGAGAACTCTCTTGGGTTTAATTATACTAATTATCAACATATTTCAGATCTTATCAAGTACTTTCAAGGGTGCCTTGTTGGGACGATTTGGTTTAGAAACACTGATGGGAGAGAAGATGAAAAGCAAGGCTGTCAGGACTAATCAGATAGTTAAAGGAGTTTCTGAAGGACTGAAATTGGTGAGGTCTTGGTGGTTGACTGTAAGTCTATAGAGTGTAGTCTGCCAGGAAAACAACCATTACTTACAGGGTTTTCCTAAATCCTCTGGATGATTGGGATTCCTTGTGGCTCTTTTTTTAGAAGAAATAAATCTTTTCAATACTCACAAATATGTTATTTTTCTCTTGCTACTTTCAGCCCTTTCAGCCTAGTGTATATGTATATCTGTATGGACTGTAGAACTCCATAAAGGTAGTTACATCATAGACATTAAAACAAAGATAAGGCCTGAATTATAGATTTTCTATCTTATAATGAGAGAGACTCACATTTTACATCACTGTGGGCATGGGAACAAATATGCAATCATGATACATCAAGGAACTGTATAAATGGGAATCATGCCTAGGTAATAGTAACTGTAAACTCAATGTCAGTCAGGTGTTTCATGGCAGCCAGAAGCTAACCCAGTCTTAGGCTCCATTAAAAGAGGTTTATGAGGGAGTGATGGTTTTGCTGTCCTCACAGATCACATCTGAACTGTATTGTGTTCAGTTCTGGGCACTATATTTTAAGGGGAAAATTAGCAACTTGAGGGGCAACCAGAAGAGTGAGAAGACTATGCCGTACAGAGTTGTTAGAAGGACCCAAAAAGATTTAGTTGAGAGAAAAGAAGACTTGGGTTGTGATAGGGAGAAGTGACTCTGAGGATGTTTGTCACCTTATTGATTGATCATTGGGGACTGGATGGCTAGGCAGGTATTGTTTTTTTCTCCTTTACCATTCTATATCTGTCTTCCTTCACAGAGGATGACCTGTAAAGACTGAGTACCACCATTCTTTGAACATGGTTATACAACAGCTATGTCCCCTTGCTAGGATCTTCATGTGTTCTTTTGAGGTCCCATGTGTAAGATGAGGGGATTCAATCAGAAAGCTGAAAAAGAATCCTCTATCAAAGTATTGAGGGCCCGGAATTTGCCTTAGTTAGGCAGGTGTTGATGTGGGGAGTGACCTTGACCCACTTACTGACACATACCACATATTTTAAAATTTACAAAGCCCAGTGGTGCCCTGAGGGTAGATGGCAGATGAAACTGAGGCTCAGAGAGCTCAAGTCATTTGGTGCTGACATCAGGCAATTAGTGAGTGTCAGAGCTGGGACTGGAACCCAGACCAGCAGTGCTTGTCCTACTTTCTGCTTTTTCTCATAACGAGTCATCTCATGTATTCTCCTCCCTTCATAGTAATGGTTCACAAGACTGCCAGAGAGATAAGAACCTGCCTTTTTACGGGGTTGTTCATTGAGCGGGGAAGGGAGACCCTACAACTTTCCTTTGTAATATACCTAAGTGTCTCACAGTATTTTCAGTCAAAAAGTTATGTCAGCAAAAATTTGTTGATAAATATATTCTAAATGCCAAGGGTGCTAGGTGGTACAGTGGATAGAGAGCTGGACCTGGAGTCAGGAAGACCTGACATTTGCTGTGTGACCCTGGGCAAGTCAATTAACCTCTGTTTGCCTCAGTTTCCTCATCTGTAAAATGAAGATAATAATAGCCTCTACTTCCAAAGGTTGTTGTGAGGATCAAATGAAATAATAATTGTAAAGTCTTAGCACAGTACCTGGCACACACTAAGCACTATATAAATATTATCTATTATTATTAGTGCAAGAACTATGCTAGGTACTATGAGAAAGGCTATATATATGAATATGTATAAGTATGTATGTATCATATATGGCATTTATATATGTATGTATGTACAAATAGTATATATATATATATATACTATTTTCTGGTTTTAAATCCATAATCATATATGTATATATATTCATAATCTTCTATATATATGAGATTATATACACATATAAATATATTTGATTCTTCTATCCATAAGGTTATATATATGTGTATATGACTATGTATATATATAAGATTTTGTATGTGTATAAATATATATATATGTACACGTACATTTGTATGTTGTTGTTCAGTTTTTTGTGTCCAACAAACAGCTATACATATGTATGTGTGTGTGTTTATGGATTTAAAGCCAGAAGGGACCTCATAGGCCATCTAGCTCAAACCCTTCATTTTACAGATGAAGAAACTGAGGCCCAGGGAGGTGAAGGTCTTGTCCAAAGTCACGCAGGCTGTAAGCATCAGAAACAGGATTTGAATTTAGGTCTTTTGGCTCCAGAACCACTGCTCTTTCTGCTGTACCATGCTAAGAGCCTAGACATGGTTCCCACCCTTGAGCAACTGATATTCTACTAAATGTGTCTATATCTTGTCTCCCTAACTGCATATAGTAGAATAGACTCCTTGAAGTTAGGGACTCACTAGTTTTTGTCTTTATAATCCTAGTGCCTAACATAGTCTTTTGCATTTAGTAGGTATTTCATGTATATTTTTAAAAACCGCATTGAATATAAGAAGAATTAACAATACCTAACGGTGCATGGTAAGTCCCAAATGTGTAGTTCAAAGGACAGAGAGGGTACTGCGTGCCAGGGTTGTCAGGAATGCTCCAAGGAGGAGTTGGGGCTTGTAGTTATTATATTATATTTCACCTCCTTAACGATAGGGAGCTGCATCTTTTACTTCTTTGTGTTCCCCATAGCTCCTAACATAGGGCCTTGAACATAGGAAGATCTCAGTAAATATTTACTGAATGAATGACTTGAGCTGAACATCAGCTTTCTTGTCTATCAAATGAGGGAGTTAGATTAGATGATCTCTAAGGTACCTTTCAGCTCTAAATCTTATGATAACCTGAGTCTTGAAGAATGGGGAGGAATCAAACAGACAGAGGGCATGAGGGAATTCATTCCTGGAGAACAACATAAAGGGAGAGGCGTGGAGGCAGCTCTGAATAACTCACCAAAATCCTTCCCCTCTATTTGTTTAAAAAAAAAGAGGGAGAGAAGAAAAGAAAAAGAAACCTAAGTTTGAAGAAGTTCGTAAATGCAGATCAAGGGTACAATGCCTATGGAGAACTAATCAATTGATAAACATTTATAAAGCACTTGCTATGTGCCAGGTGAGGCAGCTAGGTGCCTCAATGGATAGAGTGCTGGGCCTAGCTAGAGTCAGGAAGACCTGAATTCAAAGCCAACCTCAGAAATTACTAGCTGTGTGACCCTGGGCAAGTCACTTAACCTCTATTTGCCTGGAGAAGGAAATGGCAAATCACTTCAATAGCTTTGCCAGGAAAACCCCATGGACAGATATGATCCACAGGGTCACAAAGGGCTGGGCACGATGGAACAACAGCTACAATGTGTCAGGCACTGTGGGAAGAGCTGAGGATACAAAAGGAGGCAAAATCCCTGCCTCCAGGAGCTCACAGACTTATCACCTATACTGGTGCTTTTTAATCACAGTAAGAGGGGAAAGAATGAGTTAACAGTGATTTTGGTGATTATGAGGCATGATCCCACCAGGACATTGCTGTTTCCAACATTTGGACACCTGGAACAAGAAGTGAGAGATTTCTAAATTTAGAGAAATCCAACAGATTTGCTCTTTAAAAGGGATGAAATAGTCTCAGTGCATTGCAGTTTTTTGTGAGAAAAAGCAGACGGACCAGTGGGTTTGCACGCTGGCTATAGTCAGAGCATCCTGAGCAGCAGAAAACCTGGCACTGAGTTGGGGTGCTTGGGGACAGCAGTTAACTGGCTTGACTGGGGCTTCCTGCCAATGTGTGCCCCCCTCACTCCCTTCAGGGCTGGTGGGGCAGGATCTTCCTGCAAACTCTGAAAGGAGCTAGTCTCATTTCTGTTCAGCTTGCTTTGGCAGGGTTTGGAAGAGTGGACCCCCTGGAAACTGCTAGCCCCTGTTGACATGACACATCAAAGAGCTAAGCAAGACACTAGCAGTTTCAGGGAGCAGCATGACGCACCTTTGGAAGGCGACAGACTCAAAGACACAGCCCCATGCTCCAGCAGCGCAAGGCTGCGGGAGGCTTTGACGTACCACACTGTGGAACCTGTCGTCTTTCAAACCCCAGGTTTCTTTGACTTACTCCAAGCCTCTCCCCCACCCCCACTCTCACCTCTTGAATGCTATCTCCAGGGTAGCTGTTGTCAGGGGAGGGGAGAGTTGGAGAAAATCAAGTCAGAGCAAAAACCCAGCCTTGCTCTGGGAGTTGGGGCCCTCGGCAGTTTAACTTTTTCGAAATCACAGTTCATCTTTCTTTCCATTCCTTAGTCTCTGACCTGGGCACCTACCTCCTGGACTTGGCTCTTTGGGAGGGGAGGACTTGAGGACCTGGCAGGAGCAAGATGGACCAAAAGAGGAGCCACTTTGAATGGAGAGAGTCCTTCCAGAAGCCCTCCTGTTTTCTCCTGCCCCTCCCCACAAAGTAGCTTAGGCAAAAAGCTCCTGCTAGAAAGGAGACCCATTGGGCTTCCTTTGCTAGGTCCCACCTAGCCCTGATGGTGAGCTGAGATTTGAGCAGCTACCTACTTCTGAACCCTAAATAAAGTTCATCTGTGTGGAGTTACAGGTTTTCAAACAATTTGCCTTTTTTCCCTACTTCACCCCCTCCCCGAATCACGTTTAGTTTTCCTCTCTCTATTCCATTGCATTCCAAACCGCATTAGGGATGTAAAGGCTGGGAGAAAAAGAAATTTAGAAAAAATAAAAAATCAGAAGAAAAAGCCCACACTTGAGGCATGGCGGGGAAGTTTTCCTCTTCAAAATCATAAAAAAATGAAAAAAAAAATTGTCTTCCCAATCCCCTCCCACCAAGCCTTTGCTTCTCTAAATGAAATACAAATTTTATAAATGAACCAAATTATTCATAACATATCTTCATTTTTTAAAATTTCTTTTTTGGCAAAGCAATTGGGGTTAAGCGATGCCCAGAGTCACACAGCTAGTGATTGTTATGTGTCTGAGGCTGGATTTGAACTCAGGTCTTCCTGACTCCAGGGCTGGTGCTCTATCCACTGCGCCACCTAGCTGCCCCACAATATATCTTTATGTTACTAAACTAATAAAGTATATACATTTCAGTTTCCTTTTAAAAAAACAATTTTTTATTTTGTTTCTTTCACTTCAAAATTTCTGGAAATTTTCTATCTTTTGCCCATACTTCTTATTCCATCCAGACAAACTTTATGGACAATGCATTCAGCTCACTTCCTCTTCAATTACCTCCCTTAAGTCTCAGCTCCCTGAAGATCCACATTCTCTAGATTCTCAGGACTTATTTCTGTGAGTCCTCTCGAGGTTCCTTCTAGACTGTACACTGTACTAACTATACGCAAGTTTCTGGCAATGTCTGTAGTGTGGGTGCTCAGTTGTCCTGTTTGGGAGCATTGTGATAGAGCAGATCCCACATTTTCATTGTGTATCTGAATTTTCTCCAGTGTTTAAAAAAGATTGCCCCCACTCTAACTGTAGTGCCTCCTTCTCAAGTGAGCCATGCATAAATGTAGATTTTAATAAATATGTACACTGATGAAATGCTGAGACATCTTCAGCTTGGACAGACTTTGATAAATATATGAATAAAGCCCATTCCAAATGATCAACAGGAGATTCAGAAAAGGTTGTGCTGGATTAGAAACAAAGCATTCTACTCCAAAGTACATTTCTCACTTCCCACAGAATTCACATCATTATGGTGTTATGAGTGTTAAGGGAAAGGAGTTACACACACTAATAGAAAGCCCCATAGAAAAGGGCTTTGCACTTCCCTTAGATCAGGACTGGTACCAACTCAACTATGGGTGTGAGTGCAGGTGTAAGGACTACAGGGATTCTTTTTCACCAATTTAGTGCAATTACTGAGGGAAACTGGATATCTCTGGTCGGGAAAACTCCTAGGACTCTAGATTTCCAGGGAGATGTAGTAAAATAGACATTAGAAACTTCATTGAAATCTATTTTCTCTCACTGAGCTCCTCCACCATTCATCCTAGATCATGGCAGCCCTTTGAAGAGTGGCTTATTCAGTGAGTGAAGAAGTTTTTTAGACTGAGAAACTGACTCAGTCTTCTAAGTGTCTTTAGAGTATAAATGGATGTTGAGCTAAGCTGGTGTCTCTGGCCCCTCCACCACTGTGGATGGACCAGAACTGGACTTGGAGGCTGACACAGGGCCTTCTTTACTGACATATTTCCATCCCCTAGTTGATGATAATAACAATAGTTATGTCATATATGTGGCACTTGATAATTTTCATAGTGTTTTCACATACTTTATTGCAATTTGATGTGCTATTGAATTCATATTAATCTGGAAACCAGTGTACATGAGGGATATCAATCAGTTTCAGGAGACAGAGAGAGAAGTTAGAACAAAGAGATAGTCAGAGGGAATGTGTTTCCAGTTTCTTTTTCTTTCTTTTTTTTAAATTACCTGAGTTTATTTGTCACTCCTAAAGCTGTCTGAATTGTATAATACTGATTTGGGATTTGAGAAACTTTAATTTCCAAAGTATATTACTTTAACTAGTGCTCTTGCTTATTAAAATTTCTTTTTGCCTTCCCTGCAAATATTCAGTCCTTCTTCTTTTTCTTCTTCTTTTTTTGTACCTTGCTTTCTTTAGGCAATTCCTGATTCAATGCTGATGGAATTGCTCGAGGAACGTCTGGCAAATGATGAGTGTGTCTCAAAGGTAAGAACCATTCCTTAGAGAACAACAAGATAATCTGGGAGTAGCATTAGTTCACCTGATGGGAGTAGAGGAGGGAATCAGCTCGGGGTCTTTGGATCTGATGGCGTTTTTCAACAACAACCTGGAGAGTATGGGGTATTATAAGCAGCATAAAGAGAAGGACAAGTGTGTGTATATGCTAATCTTCTAAGGTAGAGATGATCAAACGCAGAACATGGAGGACTTTGCTGATGGCCTGTGGCAGGCCCAGAAAGATGATGGGCAAATCAGATAAACACAAACCATATACAAACCAAACAGTTGGATTTGGATTTCACCTTTGATAAAGAAGAAAAAAGAAGTTAGTTTTGGCATTTTTCTTTTCTTGTTTCTTTACAGAGACCTACATGACTTTAGAAATGATTGGATTTTTTACATTGTGGTAGTGACTTGTCTCTGGGTCATTTAATCCTTGTTTCCCTTTTCCCCTCTCCATAAGGTATTCTGTTTTGGAAACAAAAACTAAACAGAGCTCAGATTACTATAATTCAAATAAGCTGTATAAATTTTACTCCTATGTATCATGGCTAACAACTGATTTGATCCTTTTTAACAAGAAGCCTTAGGTTCTGGGAGTTGCAGGGGCCAAACTACTGCTCTCAGAGGGAGCCCAGCTCTGCCTCTCCCAGCTATTCTACATCTCTGCCTTTTTCTGGGTAACCATGCCAATGTGTCAATCAATCTATGACTATTAAGTACCTATAATGTACCAGGCACTGTGTCAATATTTCTCTGTGCCGTAGTCACTTGACTTTGGCATAATGGAATTTTCTTCCACAGAAAGAGACAGAGCATGTTCTTCTGTATACAGTATTTTACTCTTGGCGTAGGAACAATAAAAACAATAAATAACATGTAATAAAACACCTATGATGTGGCTACTTCTGCAGATGCAGAGGGTACATAGGCTTTTCTGAACCCATGAAAGGTACAGTTCAATTTGCTTAGCCCCCAGTGGCTGGTCTTCCTTGGAGTTGGTAAAGGAGCATAGAGTTGCCATCTACTTTTTTTTTCATGCCATCCAATAGGGCTGGCCATTAGGTGAAGACTAAGAAATTGGGCTCCCAGGACTTAGCCTGTTTTCCTCAGAGCAACAAGGGTACATGGGCTTGGGACTGGGTATAAATGGAAGCTCAGTGTCCTGTCACTGGAAGTGATGTCTGATGGTTTCTTTTCTTTTCTTTTTTTTTATTATTTTTATTAATTTATTTTGATTCATCAATAATCACTTACATATGCTTTTGAGTTTAAAATTTTTCTCCCCCTTCCTCTCCACCACCCTCCCCAAGATGGCACACAATCTGATATAGGCTATACATTTACATTCATATTAAACATATTTTCACATTAGTGATGTTGTAAGTAAAAATTAAAACCAATAGGAGGAACTGATGGTTTCTTTTCACAACTAGGTCATGATTCAAGTTGTCAAGGTACAGACAGATAAGACCAGTGTTGGAGTGGACAGAAACTCTGTGAGCTCTACTTGCCTGCTATATTAACTTCTGTGTCCTTCTCTGTCTCTGACTTCAAACTGTTCAATTCAAGTTTCTGATGGCTGAGAAATATGACTTTCTAAGTCTCTAAGTCTGTGGTCTCCCTGCTAACACTATCACTTTCTTAATCCTCGTAAGGCATTAGAAGCCAAGTTTTTCCCACTGTAAGAGGAGGAACCAACAAGTAAGAGAGGCTCTGTACAAGGCAGAATCTGATCTTTATGATCTCTTGCTCTGTATAGTTGTGTCAGGGCTGGGGAGTATACTTATGACTCAGTAATAGCTCCACTTCTCTGCATAGTCATTTCTTATGTCATCATTCCATTTTGGACACTATAGGTAGCATAAATATAGATATTGGTCTGTGGATGGAATTTTCTAATTTGCCATAGGATAAGAATATACATGTTGGAATATGAGTTAAAGAAAAGACATTTCTTTTTAAGTCAGTGTTTTATGATATGCCAAAGTCAATGAAAAATAGCTTGATCAGCAGTTTGGAAAACAACAATCACTTATTCAATGAGTAATTACTAAGTCCCTACTATGTGCCAGGTACTATTTGAAGCCATTGGGACACAAACTCAGAAATGAAACAATCCCTGCCCTTAAGGGGCTTACATTGTAATGTCAGTTATTTATAGTTTACAAAGCCTTTTAAGGTACATTATTTCATTTGTCTGCGAGAAACTCAGTCTCAGATGTACGTGCTTGTGGAATAGAAACCGCAACATGGAACCTGGGCTGATGAGCTTGGAAGATCACAGTATTAACTAAGCAGGATTTTGCTAGTTATTGTCCAAAATACCTCCCTACAACTCCAAGCTTCCTCCTGGGGCAAATATGTTGATTTCCAGATGCTGTACTGAGCTATGGTATCACATTGACTGGCTTTTTCCATTCAAATTGTCTGTCATCCACCAACCATCTATTTAAAAAATTATATTTTATTTTTTTTCAATCAGCAAAAATCTGCCTTCTAACCCTCCCATCCCATTCCTCATCATCTCTTGACACATAAAGAAAAACAAACTCCCTTAGAAACATGGATAGTCAATCAAAGCAAATTTCCAAATTGGCCATATCCAATTTTTTTTTTTGGAGTCATTCTGTACTCTGAATACTTTCATTTCTCCATTAGGAGGTGGGTAGCATCTTTCATTATTAGTCTTTTGGAATTGTGATTGGTCTTTACATTGATAAGAGTTCCTAATTCTTTCAAATTTGTTTTCCTTTACCATATTGCTGTGATTGTATGAACTGTTTTCTTGTTTCTCAGATCATACAAGTCTTCCCAGGTTTTTCTGAAGCCATTTTCTTTTTATTTCTTACAATACAATAGTATTCCATCACATTTATATACCATAACTTATTTATCCATTCCCCAATTTATAAATACTCCCTCAGATTCCCATTCTTTGCCACCTCAGAAGAGCTGTAAATATTTTTATACATCCTTGGAGTTTGTTTTGCTTAGGACTAACCTCTCCTTAATCTATCCTCTATCTAATTCCTATTCTCCCTTTCTCTTCTTTCCCTCCTATTTCCTTGTTGGATGAAATGCATTTCTGTGCAACTCTGAGTGTGTGTGTGTGTGTGTATGTGTGTGTGTGTGTGTGTGTAGTGTAGTATGTTCTTCCCTCCTTGACCAGTTTAGAGGAGAGTGAGATGCAAGTGTCAGCCACTCTCCCTCACCCCCTCCTCCTTGGGTGAATAGATGTCTACTTGCATACCCTGATTTTGTGAGATAATTTTCTCTTTCCCTTCCCTCTCCCACCCTCCAGTGTATTCCTCTTCCCCTCTCTATTCTTCTCTCAAGATCATCAAGACATAACAAAACTACTCTTAGTTCTTGTCTAATTAGACTCTCTCTATGAACCCTGACTATGATAATGTTCATAGGGAACAAATGTATCTATCATCTCCCTATATTAGAATGTAAGCACTTTATCCTTATTTAGTTAATTTTCAGTTCATTCATGTTTATCATTTTATGTTTCTCTTAACTCTTGTGTTTGAACTTCAGAGCTTCAAAAACAGCTCTATTCTTTTCATCAGGCATGTTTGGAAGTGCTTTGTTTCATTAAAAGGCCACTTTTCCCTCTGTAGCATTGTACTTAGTTTTGCTGGGTATGTTATTCTTGGCTATAAGTCCAATTTTTCTTTTTTTGCCTTCTTCAATATTACATTCTGAGTTCTTCACTCCTTTATAGTAGTGATTGCTAATCATGTATGATCCTGACTGTGGCTTTTCAGTACCTGAATTCTTTCTGGCTACTTGAAGCATTTTTTTCCCTTTGACCTGGCTATGATATTCCTGGGAGTTTTCACTTCAGGGTTTCTTCTAGAAGGTGACCAGTGGATTGTTTCTAGGTCCACTTTGCCCTCTGGTTCTCCAAGTCCTGGGAAATTTTCTTTTAAGATTTCTTGAAATGGAGTATCTAGGCTTTTTTGTTTTGTTTTGTTTTGGTCAGGGAGTTTGGATAGTCCAGTGATTCTTAAATTTTTTATCCTCTGTTTTCCGGTTCAGTTTTGTTTTGTTTTTGCTATGAGATACCTTTCATTTTCTTCTGTTGTTTTTTTTTTTAGCCTTTCGACTTTGTTTTAATATTTCTTGTCTCATGGAGTCATTGGCTTCTACTTGATCCATCCTAATTTTCAGGGAGTTTATTGCTTGGGTAAGATTTTGTACATTTTATGTTAATTCTCTTTCTAATTCTTTCTTCCAGATCTCTCATTTCTTTTCTATTTTTCCTTTAAGTGCTCTCTTTTTGTTTATAAAAAACAGTGCAACTTTAAAAAAAATTCTTGCTTCATATTTTCTAAGAATTCTGATTGAGTTTGTGTCCAAGCTATATTTTCCTCTGAGGCATTGCTTGTAGATGTTTTGGAGTCATTCTCCACCTTCCCAGTTTATATCTTGAGCATCCCTGCCATCAAAATAGCTTATTATGGTAGGGTTCTTTTTTGTTTGTTTGCCCATTCTTCCAACCTATTTCCTAACTTTGGACTTGATGTTAGGACCGGGCTCTGACACATTTTTAGAGGAAAGGCTGGCCTATTCCTTTCAGTGCTCTCAGAATGGTCTGATCCAGAGCAAAGTTGATTGCTTGCCCCCTAGTCTGAACTCTGTAATTCCCTGACTTGGGTTTCAGTTAGAGCAATAGTAGACTGCTACTGTACTCAGTCCCTATTAGCCAGCTGAGTAATTCTGCTGGTTTAGAGTGAGAAAACTACGGGTTTCCCTTTCATCTGGGATTCCTGTCCTAGTTATTCCTCTGTTGGCTATGCTAGATGCTATAACTGAGATCCTTTTCTGTTCCTGGGGTCTCAGGCAAACTCCTGCTGCTTGCTTCTGAATTTCCTCCTATCTTGGTATACTGCCCACTCTCAACTTAGGCTCCCCTTCTTAGTCCAACCTGGTTCTGTGAGCCAGAACTGGGTAGTAGGCAATGAAACTGAAGT